AACGCCATTTCAAACATTGAGGCAGCGGCAGGACTAATAAAACCCCTTTTCGGCGGGCAGGACTACGCGACAGAGGTGTGTAACGATAATGAAGTCAAGAGGGTAAAGGCGGAAATTGAGTCTCTATTAACTCAGAATTATGAGGACTGTGAAGAGTATCGTTGCACGTTTGACGAGTTTCGACACCTGTGGGAAACAGATCGAAAGAAGGCGTTTACGGAATTTTTGGAAAAGGATAAAGTTCCCAGGCGACGCACCAGCTACACAGAAGAGGACTTGGCTAAAGAGCCTCCTCCAACGACAAGCGGCGAATATTTTGGTGTCAGTCTGCAAGAATTTGATCGGTCCATTACAGAATATGAGCGTATCAGCACGAGAATTAGCAATACGGAAGAAAGACGTGTAGTGAGTTTTGTCTCCATTGACGTGAAGCCTTTTCGCGCGGCCTTGCGGGACATCTGCAAGAAGTGGAAAGAGATGTATTCAGACTATTTGATGAACAAAGTATCAGCGGACTTGGAGAATCTTTACGAATTTATGAAAGAGGCGGATAAGGGACTGGATGTTGAGGTGCTCGACGGGAATGTGGATTCCCTAAAGTGTGTCATGCGATGGATTAGAGATTGCCGTCGAAAGAACAAGGAGGTGATGGGCGAGGAAGAGAATATTGAAACAGGTGGCATGTTTCCTCCCATTCAGGCTGCTATCCGCATGCTGAAGAGTCACGCAAATACCTCTTCCGCTTTGGAAGTGGAGCTGGCAAAAATTGAAAAATTGGATGAGCTTCGGAAACCTGCCCCTGACCAATGGGTTGCGCTGAACAAGAAGGCTTTGAATGTGCGTGCACAGAATTCCATTGTACAGGACAGAGAGGCGGAAAAGGTCAAGGAGCAAGTCATGCTTTTTGAGGAAAAGCTTCGCAATGAGGCACAAGAATTTAAACAAAAGCGTCTTTTTGGTTATCCTGTTGATCGTCGTACCGTCTACGATGAACTGGATGATGTTTATAAACACTTTTTGGTGATTGAACATGAGGCGAAGGAACTACAAAACCTCCAGGAGCTTTTTGATTTAAATTCTGCGCAATTTAAGGAAATTCGAGAATGTCGCCACGAGCTGATGATGTTGAAGCAGGTGTGGGACCTGAACGAGCACGTGATGTCTCAGTTCAGTGATTGGATGAAGTCCACATTTAAGAGCGCGGACGTCTCATTGTTTGAAGACGAGTGTAAAAAGCTCTCCAAACAACTTCAACAGCAGCCGATGAAAGTCAAGTCGTGGGATTGTTTTAAGGGCGTGGATGAACAGGTGCGTAACATGCGGACCTCGTTGCCATTGTGTCAATCGTTGAGTTCTCCTTCCATGCGACCACGACATTGGCAGCTGTTGGTGACAACAACCAAGCAACCGGGCAATATTGACCCGGAGGCAAGTGATTTCACGTTGGAGAAACTTTTTGCCCTGGGGCTGCACAAGTTTTCGGAAGAAGTTGCAAACATTGTTGAAAAGGCCGACAAGGAATTGAGGATTGAGACAAATCTTAATAAAATCATCGATATTTGGGAAACAATGACGTTTACATATACATTGGACAAGGATCTTGACACATATCTTTTAGGATCTGTGGATGACGTGGTGGAGCAGTTGGAGAATGACAACAATGCCCTTTCTTCTATGCTTTCGGACCGATTTGTGGAATACTTTTATGAAAGGGTCATCCTCTGGCAAAAGAATCTGGGTGCCGTTGATACGTGCACTGGGAAATGGATGGAGATACAGCGACAGTGGATGAACCTATTTCCCATCTTTGTCCGCTCCGCAGACATTAAGGAGCAACTTCCTGAGGAAGCGAAGAACTTTGCTGAGGCAGATCAGGTCTTTCGAGATCTTATGAGCAAAGCCCACAAATACACGAACGTCATTGAGGTTATTTGTAGCGATACTTTAAAAAATGAACTGGGGCGAGATGAGGAACTGGATCTCACGCTAAATTACATCCAAGAAATTTTGGCACGGTGCGAAAAGGCTCTTGCAGACTACTTGGAGACAAAGAGAAAGATTTTTCCACGATTTTTCTTTGTTTCCGCGACGGATTTAATTGACATTCTCTCAAAAGGCTCGGACCCAAGAGCCGTGATGGTGCACATGAGTAAAATTATTGATTCTGTCGATACTTTTACTTTTAAAAATGATCCCAATTCTCTCGTGGGTTCGAAGGACACATGTGAAATGGTCTCTGTACAGGGTGAGAAAGTGAGTCTTGCGGAGAATTATACCTGCGAGGGTCCTGTTGAAATTTGGCTTGACGGTCTCATTGGCGCCATGAAGAAGGCAGTGAAGAAGCAAATTAAGGAAGCGAATGCGAGTTATATTGAAAAACCACGCAATGAATGGATTTATCAATATCCATGTCAGGCAATTATTGTAGCCTCACGCATTTGGTTTACCACGGAAGTTCATCAGGCATTTATTCAGATTGAGGAAGGGAATGATCTTGGTATGAAGGATTGTTTGAAAAATCAGAAAACCCAGCTTGACAGTCTCATCAAGGAGGTGCTGATTGATCGCACATCGAATGAGCGAAAAATGCTTGTTCATCTTATCACTATTGATGTCCATAATCGTGATATCGTGCAGTCTATGGTGGATGAACGTGTGGATGCCGTGGATGCCTTCACTTGGCAGTCCCAGCTACGGTACTACTGGGATGAAACGAAGGGGAATGAGATTCGTATTGCGGATGCTGAGTTTATTAACGGTTACGAGTATATCGGTCTCTGTGGTTGCCTTGTCATTACCAAACTCACAGATCGTTGCTACATCACGCTGACTCAGGCCCTTCGTTTGAAAAAAGGAGGAGCCCCTGCTGGGCCAGCAGGAACCGGAAAAACCGAAACGACTAAGGACCTTGCGCGTAACATGGGGATTGCGTGCTATGTGTTTAATTGTTCAGATCAAATGAATTATATCACGTTGGGACAAATTTTCAAGGGTCTTGCTATGTCTGGTTCGTGGGGTTGTTTTGACGAGTTCAATCGAATTTCCATTGAGGTGTTATCTGTCGTCGCGACGCAAGTGGGCTCCATCCTAAATGCGTTGAAGGAACAGAAACGGCGGTTCCGCTTTATGGATGAGGAAATATCTATCATTCGTTCGGTTGGTATTTGGATCACAATGAATCCCGGGTATGCGGGTCGTACGGAGCTTCCTGAAAACATCAAATCTCTTTTCCGGCCCTGCGCTATGGTAGTTCCGGATCTTAAAAATATTTGCGAAATTATGTTGGCTGCCGAAGGGTTTGGGGATGCGAAAGATCTTGCGCTGAAGTTTGTGACGCTTTACCGGTTAAACAAGGAGCTTCTTTCACCTCAGGACCACTACGATTGGGGTTTGCGTGCCGTTAAATCTGTGTTATACATTGCCGGTGCCTTGAAGCGTGGTGACCCAGATATCCCAGAGCGTAATGTTCTTATGCGTGCGTTGCGTGACACGAATATGGCGAAGCTTAGTAAAGATGATGTTTACGTGTTTATGGGACTTATTCGCTCTCTTTTCCCCAATTTAGATGTTCCGAAAAAGGACAAACCCGATCTTGTTGCCGCCTGCAAGGAGGTTTGCCAGAAACACGGCAATCTCCCTGGTGAAAATGACATCTTTATCTTAAAGTGTGTACAATACGAGGAGCTCTTGCATGTTCGTCACTCAGTTTTTGTTTTGGGACCCGCTGGTTGTGGTAAAACCGAGTGCTGGAAGTGTCTACAGGGCGCACTCACCAAACTTCACAAGGATGAGTGGAAGGCCAAAGCTGTCTCTTCCTGCCTCAATCCAAAGGCCATTACCTCCAATGAATTGTATGGATATTTTACTCCTAATAAAGAGTGGCGAGATGGCATCTTATCTATGATCTTCCGTGAATATGCGCTGGAATCCAAGAAGAAACGCAACATGAAGTGGATTGTGCTTGATGGTATTATTGATGCTGAATGGATTGAGTCTATGAATACTGTGATGGATGATAATAAAATGTTGACGCTAGTGTCGAACGAACGTATTCCACTGACAGACTCTATGCGTATGATCTTTGAAGTGTCTCACCTACGCAACGCCTCACCTGCTACCGTATCTCGTGCAGGTGTTGTCTTCATCAACGAAAGTGATCTCGGCTGGGGCCCCTTCAAGGACAAATGGATTGCCACAAGAGACAAACGTGAGGGAACCATATTTGATAGTCTTTTTGACAAGTATGTTCCTTTTGTGTTTGAGTTCTGGAAGCGTAGCATGCGCCCCATTGTCTCGATTATGGATATCAATGTGGTTCAGACCATTTGTTTTATTTTGGAAGGCATTTTTACCCAGGCGACTCAAGAGGAATTGTCCAAACATCCGAACCATTTTGAGGTGTATGAAAAGTACTTCGTCTTTGCGGTTATTTGGGCCTTTGGTGGTCCATTGCCAGGGTCGGATGGACGCATTGACTTGCGGCTGAACTTCTCCAACCAGTGGAAAAAGGAATTCTCGAACATGAAGATTAGCGATTTGGGCTCGGTCTTTGACTTTTACGTGGAAAAGAAAAAGGACGAAAATGGGCTGATCCAATACGAGTGGAAGCCATGGAGCGACCTCGTCCAGCCGTACGTTCCTGACCCGGATAGGCAGCTTTCGACGGTGTCTGTTCAGACGGCAGATGGTGTGCGTATGTCGCACCTAATGAGTTTGCTCGTGGACAATGCCAAATCAGTCATGCTTGTTGGAACCGCTGGGACGGGCAAAACAAATCTAATCATGTCAAAGTTACGTTCATTGGATCATGAGCATGTCTTATTCCGTGTAATTTCCTTCAATGCCCGCACCTCTTCGAGTGGTCTTCAGGCTGTGATGGAACAGTCACTGGAGAAGCGCTCTGGACGAACATATGGTCCCTTCAACCGTAAAAAATTGGTCTTTTTCCTTGATGATATGAACATGCCTGCCCCGGATAAATACGGTACACAAGAGGCCATTGCCCTCCTTCAACAGCACGTCAACTATGGATTCTGGTACGATCGTGTGAAGATTATACAGAAGGAGGTGGTGGACCTTCGGTACGTTGGCGCCATGAATCCGAAGTCGGGTACATTTACAATTTTGGATCGTCTTTTGAGACATTTTGCCGTGTTCTCCACAAATATGCCAGAGAGAGCAGACTTGATAAGTATTTATGGACAAATTCTTCAGGCACATACTCATAAATTCCAGCGCGACATTCGAGATACCATGACAACTCTTATAACCAATGCCTCCATTGAGCTTCATTACTTGGTTTCTAAGCAGTTTTTCCCAACTGCCGTGAAGTTTCACTATCAATGGAATATGCGTGAAATGTTCAACATTTTCCAAGGATTATGCAAATCGCACCCCAAAATCCATACGACAACAGCGCAGATGGCACGACTTTGGGTTCATGAGTGTAACCGTACCTTCCGTGATCGTATGGCGGATGCAGATGACTTGGCTCGCTACGATGCATTGCTTTTTGAAGTTATAGGTCGTGCTGGATTTCCTGACGTTAATCCAAAGGAGTTGGTACAAGACTCATTTTTGTGGGCTCCGTTTCATACCTCCCCAGAAGGCGAAGAGAATGTGTATGATGAAATCACCCTTGATTCTGCACAGGCCTATCTTATCAAGAGGTTGAAAGAGTACAATGAAAACTATGCTCGTATGGATCTTGTGTTGTTTAACCAGGCCGTTGAGCACCTTTGCCGTATTGCACGTATCACATCTAACCCACGTGGTAACGCCTTATTGGTGGGTGTCGGAGGTTCTGGAAAGCAATCCCTTGCACGGCTTTCCTCCTTTATTAATGGTCACGACATCTTTCAGATTCTCGTGACAAGCACCTATGGCATTGCCGATTTTCGTGCGGATATGCAAGAGTTGTATCGCAAGTGTGGCTTGAAGGGGTATCCGTTTGCCTTCATCATTACCGACACCCAGGTAGTGTCTCAAGATATGTTGGTGTACCTTAACGATATGCTTTCCAGTGGCAATGTTCCTGAGTTGTTTAACCAAGACGAACGTGACGGTATCGTTGGCTCCATTACGAATGAGGTAAAGGCTGCCGGTTATACAGACTACTCAAACCCTGATGTATGCTGGGAGTATTTTATTGGCAAAGTCAGGTCCCATCTTCACATCATCTTGTGCTTTTCGCCAGTAAGCAAGAATTTTGCGGCGTGGTGCCGCCAATTCCCTGCACTGGCGAACACGACTGTGATTGATTGGTTCTTGCGTTGGCCAGAGCAGGCTTTACGGTCCGTCGCACGGAGATTCCTGTCGGAGATTGAATTGGGAAGCCCGGAGATGACGCAGAACATCGCGGATTTTATGGCGTTTTGTCAGAAGAAAGTTACAGAGACGTGTGAGGAGTATTTTCTACAGGAGAAGCGACGTGCTTACACAACACCAAAATCCTTCCTGGAGCTTATTGCCTTTTACAAGGAACTGCTCTCGAAGAAGCGTGAGGATCTAAATGACAGGAAGCAGCGTCTGGTCAGTGGCATTGACAAGATTAAAGAGGCTGGGGTGCAGGTGGCAGCCCTGCAAGAGGTCCTTCAAAGGGAAAGTGTGGAGGTAGAGGAGGCACGACAAAAGACCGCGGCCCTCATGGAGACAGTGGGGCGAGAGAAGGCCATTGTGGAAGAGCAGAGTGCCATTGCCGCCAAGGAAGAAGAGAAGACGAACAAAATTGTCGCCGAAGTGGAAAACTTTGAAAGTCAGTGCGCTGAAGATTTGGCAAAAGCAAAACCTTTGGTGGAGGAGGCGCTTGCGGCCCTTGATACACTGGATAAGGCTTCTATTGCGGAGCTTAAGAATTTGGGTAAGCCTCCAGTGGATGTGCAGATGGTTGCCATATGTGTTAAGGTTTTGACGTCTAATCCTCGTGCAATTCCTTCAGTAAAAAATCGAACCTGGGCGGAGTGCAAAAAGATGATGAATCAGGTGGATCGGTTCTTGGCGGAACTAAAAGGGTTTGATGTCAACAATATCCCACAAGTCTGCATTGATCAAATTCAAATGTACATTACAAATCCTGCCTTTGATCCCGACAACATTAAAACCAAGTCATTTGCGGCGGCTGGCCTGTGTAAATGGGCTATTGGTATCAACAAGTACCACTTGGTGCGTTGTGAAGTTCGTCCCAAGGAGGAGCGGCTGGCGGAGGCTCAAGAGCGTTTGCATCAGAGTAAAACAGCCTTAAAGAAGATTCAGGACAAGGTTGCAGATCTAAACGCCAAACTTAGCGCTCTCATATCCCAATACGATGAGGCTGTGGAATCTGCAAACGCCATTCAACTAAAGGCAAAGAAGACACAGCTCAAAATGGATCTTGCTCAACGTCTTGTGAGTGGTTTGGCCGATGAAAGTGTCCGATGGGGCAACACTATTCAAGAACTTCAGGTTGCCAGTGATCTTTTGGTGGGTGATGTCCTTTTGGGGGCCTCATTTGTTTCATACATTGGTCCTTTCTCAAAGGCCTTCCGTGAGCGCATTGTGGTTGAGGATTGGGTGCCCAAAGTGAAGGAGCTGGGTATTCCAATGACAGAGAACCTTGACATTACCATGAATGTCCTCACATCGGAGGCGAAAGTCGCCTCGTGGAACAACGAAGGTTTACCTTCCGATCGAATATCTACAGAGAATGGTGCGATTTTAACAAATTGTACCCGATGGCCACTACTCATTGATCCGCAACTGCAGGGCATCAAATGGATTCGAACGCGTGAGGAAAAGAACGGACTGAAGGTCATTCAAACATCACAAAAGACATGGCAGCGAACTCTTCAGACGTGTATCGAACAGGGACTTCCATGTGTGATTGAATCTTTGGGTGAATTTATTGAGCCAGTCTTGGATGGTGTTCTGAGTCGACAGACCTTTAAGAAAGGAGGCCGTGTGTATATTAAATTGGGTGCGACAGAGGTGGAATATCATCCCAGCTTCCGTTTGATCCTACAGACAAAGCTTGGCAATCCGTCGTATGGCCCCGAGGTAAATGCTCAAACCACATTAATCAATTTTATGGTGACCGAAGTTGGCCTGGAAGATCAATTGCTTGCCGTTGTTGTGAACCAGGAGCGGCCGGACTTGGAAAATAAACGAGGAACCCTTCTTCGCCAGATGAACACGATGACCATTGAACTTCAGAAGTGTGAGGATGGCCTACTTTTCGAGTTAACAAACGCTACAGGCGATATCTTGGAAAATGTCGCCTTGATTGAGAATCTTGAGAACACAAAGAAGAAGGCAAAAGAAATAAATGCCTCTTTTGCCCAAGCCGTTGCTACCCAGAAGGATATTGCTCAAAATCGCTTAACTTATACTTCCGTGGCCGTACGTGGGGCGTTATTATTTTTTCAAATTGATCAGCTTTGGAAGATTGATCACATGTACCAATACTCTTTGGAAGCCTTTATGGTGGTTTTCAATAAGGCCTTGAAGAGAGCTGTACAACCGGAGGACAGAAAAGATGTACATAAGCGTGTAGAAAACGTGCTTCAGTCTATTATGGAATCCGTTTTTGCGTATGTCTCACGTGGTTTGTTTGAGCGACATAAACTTATCTTATCCAGCCTGCTGACGTTTGCGATTCTCCAACGACGTGGGGACATTGATGTGAAGCAGCTTGATTTTCTTCTCCGTGGAAAGAAGAAGTTGGGTGTGCCGCGGCCAGAAACGGTGGTGGAGTGGTGTCCCGAACCAAACTGGGCAGCTGCACAGGCTCTTGCTGAGGTGGAGGGCTCGGTACCACCCTTCAATCTTCTGCCAAGTGACATGGCGGAAAATAATCGATGGAGACAATGGACCGAGACGGAGAAACCCGAATTGGAGAAGATGCCCTCTGAATGGAAGAATTTGACACAATTTCAACGTTTACTCGTGTTGCGTTGCTTACGTCCAGACAGACTAACCTCCGCTTTGGAGACCTTTGTATCCGACAGCATTGGCCGCTTCTTTGTGTCTGACCAGACTGTCGATATCTCTGTTTCTATTTCGGAGTCGACAACCACTACCCCACTGTTTTTTATTCTTTCCCCTGGCGTGGATCCTGTGAGGGCTGTCGAGGAGGCCGGTCGAAAGCTGGGCTTCACGTATGACAATGAACGACTGTATAATGTGTCACTTGGCCAAGGCCAAGAAATCGTTGCGGATCGGGCATTGGAAAAGTGCTTCCTTCATGGCGGATGGGCGCTGTTAAACAATATTCATCTTGTTCAGAAGTGGCTTCAAAGCTTGGAGCGTCGTCTGGATAATTACGCGGAAATTTACACTCGAGTGGCACAGCTGAAAAAAGAACGGAAAGAGAGACGCGCGGCCGGGAAGAAAGTCCTGGAGGAGCCGGAAGAAGAACGGGAAGCTGAGGGGGAGGCATTCCCCGAAGAAGTTTCCAAGGCCTCCGTTGATGAAGGGGAGTTGGTGGGTGGAGACGAGCTGGAGTTCTCTGCAATGGTGGAGGGTGGAGAATTCGGAGAAGCAGATGAAGATGACGCCAAAGGAAAGGGGAATCGTGAGAACGTGGAGGAAGACGAGGAAGATGATGACGATGATGATATTCCTTTTGAGGGTCCAAGGGGGCATCCGGAATTCCGTGTGTTCTTAAGTGCTGAGCCCTCCAATTTGATTCCCATTGGTGTCCTGCAACGTTCCATTAAACTTACTTCTGAACCGCCGACGGGCATTCGATCCAATATTGTTCGAGCAATGACGAACTTTAGCGACGAACCATGGGAAAAAAGTGCAAAGCCGACTGAATTTCGCTGCATTATGTTTTCCATGTGCTTTTTTCATGCGGTGGTTGTGGAGCGGAAGAAATTTGGTCCACTGGGCTGGAACAGGGTGTACCCCTACAATGCGGGGGACTTGACCACATGTATGGAGGTGGCGGCAAATTACATCGAGGACCGTCCCAAGGTGCCATGGGAAGACTTGAGATATGTTTTTGGTGAAATTATGTACGGCGGACACATCACAGATGACTGGGATCGTGTCTTGTGCATGGCGTATCTTCGAACATTTGTCGTACCAGAGTGTTGTGACAGTCTCCAGCTAGCACCTGGATTGGAAGTGCCTGCGCCCATGACTTACAATGAATATATGGACTGGTTAATCAACGGTGAGGATTTTCCACAAGAATCTCCTCTTCTTTTTGGTCTTCATCCAAATGCCGAGATTAACTACCGAACCGTTCAGGCGGATGTCTTGTTCCGTACCATCAATGAATTGCAACCGAAGCAGCACGGCGGAGGTGATATGTTAAGTGCCCAGGAAGTTGTGCAGCAAAAGATTGAGGAGATTCGTGAACGTCTTCCTGAGCCCCATAATCTGCAGGATTTGGCTGAGCGACTTGAGGATGAGCGGACGCCGCAACAACACGTTTTCTATCAGGAGTGTGAGCGCATGAATCTTCTTATTAGCGTTATGAAATCCACGATTGAAGAGCTGGATCTTGGTCTCAAGGGCGCCCTTTCAATGACGACGCCCATGCAGACATTGTTTGATGAGATTTTCCTGGACAAGCTTCCTGCCGTTTGGGAAAAGGTTTCGTTTCTCTCCCTCCGGGCACTTGGGTCATGGATGGAGAACTTCCTTCTCCGAAATGATCAACTGGTCAACTGGATCGGGGAGTTGCAGACACCCAAGGTGACGAATATCGCTCTCTTTTTCAATCCCATGTCTTTTCTCACGGCTATTATGCAAACGACTTCTATTATCAACAGCTTTGATCTTGACCAGATGGCATTGGTGATTGATGTTCTAAAGAAGTCTGCCGATCAGATTGAGACGAGTGCCCGAGATGGATGTCATGTGTCTGGTCTCTCTATGGAGGGAGCCCGCTGGGACACGAGCTCGTCATGTATTGAGGAAAGCAGGATGAAGGAGCTTTACCCCAAGATGCCCATCATGACAGTGCGCTCACTGCCACTATCCAAGATCGACCGCCGTGATCAGTATGAGTGCCCTGTCTACAAAACTCAACAACGTGGCCCTGGCTACGTGGTTGGCTTCTGGCTTAAAACGAAGCAGCCCGCAAAGAAGTGGACAATTGCTGGTGTGGGGCTTATACTCGACGTGGTGGAATAGTAAGGAGACACATTTTTTTTAAAAATGTTTTTTGGTTTATTTTGAGTCAAATAGAGAAATAACCAAAAAGAAAATATGAATATAAGAGTACTGTATGAATGTAAATACTTTTGGGAGGTTTTGCGATGTATGAGGTGACTCGCTTTTTAAATTATTTATTATTTTTCAGATGTAATTAGCTAAGGCTTCATTTCTCGTTCAAATGCTTTTCTCGTA